TGCATACATACGTACATACCAACAAACATACTTTATTAACGTGACTAACACTTAGCTATAAAGCCAGTTTACAGGTCAGTCATGAAAAGAAAGATAAATAAACAAACATGGAAACTACATAAAAGTGTTTAAAATGATATAGCATTAATTGGAAACTGCATAAAATTATAGAACTATTAAACTTACATAGTAAGAAAACTAGGTAAAATTGCAAATAAGGGTCTATAAAATTGCAACCATACAAAAGTATATAGTATATAGTATATATAAATGATATAGTATATGGAAAATGCATAAAATTATAGAACTATAATACTTATATACCGTAAATCCTCTATCAAGCCCCCTGGGGGTATTTTCGCCAAGCACTTTTGAGGGGGGGCTTAATAGAGAGGGGGGCTTATTTTATTGAAATGCATCAACAGCAGCAAGGTTTCTTGAGGACGAACTTGTGGTTACCGGGCACTATACTGTTTTTCAAACAATAAGAAAATGGTAAAAATTCTCCACAGAGAACTAGAGCATAAAGTTGAAAAAGTTAAGCACGTGAAGTTGGAGGTCATGTGGCCAAAGACCAAAAACAATATGAATTTCCAGCCTGAATATACCATAACTGATCAGTACATCTTAATTGTTTGTGAAGAATAAGGATGGAGGGGAGGGGGAACGGGGGCAAGGGGGGCTTAATAAAGAGGGGGGTTATTAACTATCCTTCTCTGAAAAGGGGGGCTTATTTGAGAGGGGGGAATTAATAGAGGATTTACGGTACTACAAAAACTGAGTTAAATTGTGAATAAGGAAGGGACTATAAACTGGCAAGGTTGAGCTCCTTGAGTGCGGTAGCTATCGATATTTCCTAAATTATTAGGAATAGTGTTCTTAAATTATGAAGCGCACAAGGTGGTTTCAATCTTCATAAATGGCATTTGAACGCCAGGGAACATTGTAGATACAGTAAACACACAGACTAGCAAAGAGATCGGCGACACACAGAAGACCCATGAGAAAAGCAGCTAGGTGTCCCACAGAGAGGAAAAGGAGCACTTCTAGGCATTTCCTGGGACATGGTGGCTCCTGGTCAAGTTTCCCCCTGAATGTGCCCAACCTACAAAGAGAGGCCTGTTGGCTAAAGTGGCCAAGATTAATTTACAATCCACTGGGTCTGGTTTCACCCACAAAACTGTTATATGGCGAGACCTGTGATCTAAAGATAGCATTGGACAAAGAAATCCCAGAAAGCTGTCCAGGAAGCTGACATTGTGGGAAGAAGAGATGCCTTGAAGGGTCAGCATATTGAGAGGTCTGCCACTGCACAGCGAGCCGATCGGCTACATCGACCTTCATTGCTTTGGTGATGCCAGTGGTAAGGAAGTCTGTGCAGCTCTATATGCGGCGGTTATGCAGTCCTCTGGTGCTAGTGAGTGACTTGTAACAGCAAGAGCAAGACTAGCAAAAATGGGGCTCAGCATACTGCATTGAGAATTGGTTTCGGGACACATGGCTATTAATTCGACTAGCAGTAGCAGTTGGCTAGGAAGTGCGTGCGAACATGTGGGTTTACCTTGGAGATTTGATTGATAAAAACCACTTTCATAATTGTTGAAGTGAATCAAAGAAAGCCCTTTTACTTCCAGTGTCAACGGATCATGAAAACTGGAATGAACAACACTTAAATTTAATGATTCTATTCACAGTTGCTTTGATACAATTAGCCTATTCGCCAGCAAGGATAAATTGAAACAGTAATGTGTGACACAAGGAATGGGTGTATAAAGTCATCACTGCACGAAATCTTATTAATTAATCAAATATTCAATCCGTGTTCAAAGACCAAAGGTCGTTGATATGCAATAGAAAATAATGGAACGGCTTAAATTACCATTGGAGTTTGAAGCTTATTGAAGCTTTTGGATGACAAGCATCCTAACATGCTTGGAAACATATAAAATTATGAATACATGCACTGTAGTGAAACCTCAATAAACTTAATTTACATTGATTTCTAGACTTTGCTAACACTTTTTTGTTTGTTTGTTTGTTTATTTTATTTTATTAATAATAACTAAATTACAACACAAACAAAAAAACAGTTTATAGAAAGTACGGTTCGACCACCTAAAAAAGACAGGAGCAATAAACGAACGTTGCATGATTGTGTACTATCAGTCAGATATATGTAGTTAAATACAAGATTTACAATTCTTGCAAAATTTTGGTATTCAATTATTTTCTCGAGTTCTTCTTTTAAGATTACTTCTTCTTGTCACCAATTCTTGCGGGAGGTCCCTAAACATCTGAAAGTTGGTACCTTTAAGACAAGATCCCAAGGCGAGGATCTCTTTGCAATCCAAAGCTTCGAGCTTCGTCGTTCTTTCTTCTAATTTGACCAAGCTGCCTTCAATCTTTTTAATTGCTCTTTCAATTGTGTCCAGCTTGTTCAACTTTTTCAGAATACCTTTAAGAATCCCACTTAGGTCGTCTGTCAGTTCAAGCCCAGTTAAAACAATGTCACTATCCTCCTTGTTCACATCGCCGGCATGTTCAAGGTTCATTGCTAAAACTTCAAAATTATCTGCAGAACTATCCGAGGATCTGTTTCTCCTTTTAGTCACGTAGTTTAACAAGGTTTTTGTGCGAGCGGAGATGAGAGAGCACTTCACGCCGCCATGTCTCGATGCCAGTCCCACTTTGCTAACACTTGTATCTTACCAAAAACTTGTCCCACACAAAGCTGAGATCAGGCTCTGCTTTCATTTTCCTGGGTCAAAAGATTCCAGGCCAGCAAAGCGAATCAAAAGTCTCTCATTAAGGGACGGTTCATTATTTATGAGGATGACCGGGTCGGGAAAAAAATAATAGCTTTCCTCTTTCTTTCTAAAGCCCGCCCAAAAGGCATTTTGTTTTTTCGTAGCCCGTTCAGTATTTGGGGTCAAATTTTTCAAAGCCCGTTCAAATTGAAGTGAGTACCTTGTGAAAATCATTCAATGTTTATTTACGACTAGAGCAACTAGTGCATGTTCAGATCAAATACACAACTGTTTGCCGTTCGAGTCAGCAAACGGCTATCTATCAAAGGAGTTGAGCGATTACAAACGATAATTTATTAACATCTGTGAAAAGTGCACGTTAACAAATGCCATCCAGCTTGAGGCATTTCATCGTTTGCCAAATAAGTGAAAAAGTCCTAAATATATCTTTGAACACGAATATATAACTGTTCGTATTAAATGACTTGCAAGAGGCGTTTGGAGTTTTCCAACCTCTCCAAAGAGAACTTCTTGTGGAGTAACGTTTCCCTTGAAAGTTTTCGACGTTTTGTTAAAGGAATAAGTTTCCACAAACATGTTTTTAAACACGTTCGCGAGACGTTCACGAGGACATTCAAAACTTTGTTCCAGGTCTCTGTTGCAGCAGCAAGACATGGGAAGACTGGTAACTAATGTCCACAGGGCATGAAAAAATGAAACGGATTTATACAATTTATACTGTGGTGTTTCATATTAGGTTCTGTTATAGCGCCCGAATTAATTTTTTAAAAAGTCAACTGTTTGCAAACTCAATCAAAACCATAAAATTCCTCTTCATCTGAATCGCTTTGAAAGACAAACCATATCTTTTCACTTTCATCGATGCTATAACGTTCCCGTTCGCGTGATGAAGTCGCGATCGTGTCTTGGTCTGAGTCAGGCCCACTTAACAATTCTGCAAGGACAATATCCTCCTCACTTTCATCGTCCCCTGAGATGTCAATTTCCTCGTTGTCATCTTCCGTTCCACATTCCTTCGTCTCCTCGTCAGTAAATTCATTCGTATCTTCCTGTTGACCATGGTTTCCGAGAAGCACATGCAACGAGACTCTCAGTATCTTTTCAGCTTTGGCGCCGCTGCATACGAGTTTGTAATGTTTAAGGTATTTATTCAGCTCAGATACAAGCAATTTTTTAAATCTCCAGACTCTACGAGGTCGCGCCAGGCATATTCTTCAAACGTTTTGGACATCATTTACGTTCATTTTACGCTTTTGTTCTGCGCGCCCCCTTGTTCTAATGCCACTTTGTATTTTAAGATCTTCTAAATGGGCAATGTATGCCTTGATCAAGTGCGGCTCCACGGCTAATTTCTCCGAAAACTGCTGGAGCTCTTCTTCCGTTGTTAACATGCCGTCACTAAACATTTTCTTTATGTTTGCACGTGGCTGAAAATCATCGGGCACTCAAGGCTGCCCGTTTTCTGTGGTAGTTGGTGTGTCATTGACCGATTTAAAATGGGTAGGATTTTCAGGATCTGGCACAGGCTGGGGAATACGTTTCATGGGCACTGGACTTGTCCATCCTTTGTTAGAACAAAATGAACAACGTTCAGTGATGGCTGTAGAACAGTCACCGTACAAGTACTCCATAAAGAGCTCACCAATTTTGTAATGGGAATCGATGAATCGTAGAATTTTTTTAATGTACGCACTTCCAGGGACACACGATTTCTTATTCTGAGTCGCAGATTGGTATTCCTTAAGATTACTTTTGTTGAAAAAAAAGTTGTCACCTTCATTTTTTTCAGCAAGGAGAACACTGTAGTGCGTGCAGAAAAAATATTTTCAATTCAGTAGGAGTTGCAACTTGAGATCCTCGATCAAAACATCTTGTTTTTTTGTGTACAGTCTGGCGGAGTCCGAAGATTTAATATTCCAACCGTTGGAGTTCACTTTGAGTAAAATCCTTGTCCATGCATCATTTGAAATTCTAATTTGATTACAAGCTCTGAAATGTCAAGGAATATAAACAACTATAAAAGAGCAGCTCACAAAGTACATTTGTGTCATTCCGTGGCCTGTCAAAATTCTCGAGTGTTTGATCGCAAAACGCGAGCTTTTTCTTGCGGGTATATCCCTGCATTACCAAAAATATTGTAGCAATATTTCTTTGATATGAAAGTACGACAATTTACCGCGTGAATTTTCAACGACGAATACAGTTTCCATGTGTTGTTCTCATCAAACGACTGCCGCGTTTCTACCACAGTTTTAGTTTATGTTGATTTTTTTTAAAGCCTTGTCTCTTTGTTCAAGAAAAAAACACAAAGCCCGTCGCCACGGCAAGAAAAATTTCCAAAGCCCGTTCGGTTTTTTCCCGACCCGGTCATTCCCATAAATAATGAACCGTCCCTAAGTACAGTACCAGGGTACCTGGTACCTACCTACAATCGGCGACAAAATGAGTTGAGACACTTCGCCCAAAAGTGGGCTTTTTTACGTTTTATGAACTTCAAAAGGAGGAAATAATTATAGCTTTCCTCCCCCATCCCCTCCATGCAATGTTGTGCCCTTGTTCTAGCTACCTATAGAAAACAACAAACACCCCAACTTTGAATGGAGGGGACAGGGGAGGGGTGCAGATTCTTTTGTTCTCCGAAGTCACCCTATTTAAGTACAATGTCTCAACAATTTTGTCGCCGATTGTAGTTTATAGAGTGCCGCTGACCAAGAATAGGCTGCAGGCTCCTTTTGTCGCCCACAATTACGAATACAAGAGATGCCCCAAAGGGATGCCTAATTGGTGAGCTTCACTGCTGACTTGATGGCACCTTCGCCTTACACTGGATAAAGGCACAAGTGAATACAAGCAGCTCGTTGGAAATTGTGTCAGGAAAATTCAAGAGTACTCTGAAATAAAGTGTCGTCATGTGACCAGTGAGGAGAACCCTGTCAACTTTGCAAGTCATGGTGGAAGCGTGGAAGGGGTGGAGTTGTGGTGGAAAGGACCCAAGTGGCTAGTACATGTAGAACAATGGCCATGTGACATCATGACAGTCAGCACAGCTGAAGCCAAGCAGAGACTAAAGTAGTATGAGAGGTATTAAATCAAAATGGAATTAACCACAAGGAAACCAGAGTACAACAAATAGCCAAAAAACTGTTGGTATGCAGTCTGCAAGTGCGACATAGTGATACAGGGGTACATGTCCCGCTTCACATACTATAACCAGATAAGTCAGAAAACAAAGAGTTGAGTCAAATGCAACATTATTAAAGTTTTTATGTAGGTTGCCTGTAATAATATAGTGTATTTCATACTTTAAGGTTTGTATTATATGTAAATCATCTATGTGTCGTGACGTGCGTTACACGTTGTAACTTATCTTCCGGTGTTGACAGTTTTATCTAGGATTAGTTGTTGAACTTTGAACAATCCGACATTTGACATAGTTTTTTAAAAAAGAATACATGTTTTGTTATCATGGGGAACCAAGATCGGGGTGTGAGTGAGCGAGATTGAACTGTTTACAACGAGTGAGTGTCGGTGTCACTGATTCCCGACAAAAAGTGGTGACATCGCCAGGACTGATTCTCAAGGAAATTGTAACGTGGAGTTCAGTTGCACGAGAATAATACAACGCAGCAAATAGACCATGTTTGTAAACCACATGACGGAACTCGGTTGAACAAGCTTTTTAAAAGATCGACTCTAAATTTAGACTGAGAGCAGTATCTTATTTTTCTTTGAAAAGTTACTGTACATGAAACTTAAAGCACATCGTAGTTTGCAATCGCGCTGGATGAGATAAAAACAAGACGGATTTTAAGAGAAAAGGTGGACTGCAAGTAGTCTACTCTAAATTACGCCTGTTGAAATTTATGCAAGAGGACGTACCCAGAGTCAAAGGGAAAAAGTGAGTTGAAGACAGCAGAGCCATTGCAAAAAGCCCTGGAGCAACAGATTGACAGCGTTCACGAACAGATGATAGAACTTCAAGGCCTGAAAATAGACAATTGTCTTTTTTAAACAAGAACTCACCTTTCAGGCGACAGTGTCAATGGAGAGCACATGGCAAATCGGAGATTTCTTGTGCGATCATGTGCAAATTCCGAGTAACATTCGAAGCAATTCGAAGATATCCTTGACAAACATTGAACAACTGATGATGTTCCGAAACAAAAAGGGGCTAAGATCGGGAAATATTGGATAGATTTAGGCAGAGTTTGTCAGTGGTCTCGGATTCTATTGTTATCCTCACTCAACGCGACAACATTATGGCTAACTGCCTGAGGCAGTAAGAGACACAAAAATGATCTGTAACTTTAGATTTTTCAACAATTTATGTATTTAATATAGATTCTTCAATTCACTTGAGACTAGATCAGCATATAGATGTGACTTTTTTNTTCTTTGAAAAGTTACTGTACATGAAACTTAAAGCACATCGTAGTTTGCAATCGCGCTGGATGAGATAAAAACAAGACGGATTTTAAGAGAAAAGGTGGACTGCAAGTAGTCTACTCTAAATTACGCCTGTTGAAATTTATGCAAGAGGACGTACCCAGAGTCAAAGGGAAAAAGTGAGTTGAAGACAGCAGAGCCATTGCAAAAAGCCCTGGAGCAACAGATTGACAGCGTTCACGAACAGATGATAGAACTTCAAGGCCTGAAAATAGACAATTGTCTTTTTTAAACAAGAACTCACCTTTCAGGCGACAGTGTCAATGGAGAGCACATGGCAAATCGGAGATTTCTTGTGCGATCATGTGCAAATTCCGAGTAACATTCGAAGCAATTCGAAGATATCCTTGACAAACATTGAACAACTGATGATGTTCCGAAACAAAAAGGGGCTAAGATCGGGAAATATTGGATAGATTTAGGCAGAGTTTGTCAGTGGTCTCGGATTCTATTGTTATCCTCACTCAACGCGACAACATTATGGCTAACTGCCTGAGGCAGTAAGAGACACAAAAATGATCTGTAACTTTAGATTTTTCAACAATTTATGTATTTAATATAGATTCTTCAATTCACTTGAGACTAGATCAGCATATAGATGTGACTTTTTTGACTGTGACTTTTAATTAAACAATCTGAAGTGAGGGAATAGTGTTGTGGTATCTACATTCCAACACCACACAATATCTTTTTAAAGCATACTTTATCAAAAATATTCTTTACAGAAATAACTATAGCTATCTAAACAGGCATGTTTTTAAATGAAATAGTGAAAAAGGAACTACAATATTATTACCCACTTGTAGGAGAATTGACAAATTCCCCACCGCCGGGACCAACAAGTTTACAAATGCCAAGGGGGATAGGCATGCTTGCAATTGACTTCAACTGGTCACTTAATAATATGAAAGCTATGTTTTGCTTTAACAGCCTCACAGCCTCTACATGTACTTAAGGCAGGGCAAGTAGTTTGGGAATAAGGTGCCATAAAGGTCAAGGGGCAAATAAATGTAAATCTGAAGAAGTAAACCACAAAATAAATATTACATGACTATGGTTTTACCTATCAAACTGTTTACTTTCAAACTCAACATGAGCACTGTTGGCAAGTTCTCGCTCAGCATCAGTGACACCCACTCTAGGAATGTTCTCTACCTGCTGCAGGCCATTGGTACTGTCCAGTGGATTCTCTGCCATCTTGCTTGAAATTACCTAAAAAAGCAACTATTTAGTTAAGTAATACTGAACAGGCTAGTTGAAAAAAAGATAATAGCAGTAGCAATAATATTTTCAAGTATTTTCAAGTCAAGTCTAGGTAACTTTATTTAGGCAGGGTAGCCCCATCAGCCATTGGCTCGTATCAAAAGGGGCCCTGCATAAATTATGACCACATAAAAATTATGTAAAAAATTATGTGTAAGTTACAATGACTTTAAAAAGGAATAAAAGGGAGATTACAATATCATCATAAGAATGGTAATGTCAAGACAAACAAGAATGCTCTTACAGTGGCGTTCAGTCTTGCTTGCTTGGAGATTAAATCCGGAAATAAGGAGGCGATTAATACTACATGAAACAGGATTTACTCGCTAAAGGTCTTTTACGTCCTTCTTTATCATTGTCAATACTGTTTATTTGTTTATCAACTGATTTAGTAGGCATGTTAGCGACGAACGGAAATACGTCTGCTGTCCCAGGCTATATGCATGTTTAAAAAACCTGAAAATTCAAGGGCCTCGAGTCCAGAGAAATTACATCATTGCCAGAGATCAAAGAAATGATTTACACGGCACGTCATTTCAATCATCGCTGAAAATAAACCACATGCTCATCACAAGACCCATTGCATACAACAAAAGTTTACAACACCCCACCATTACAGTTTTGCTGATTAAGATTCTTATTTTTTTTTTTACCACTCAGTAGTGTTCACTTGTTCCAAAGTAATCAATGCTTTGAAGCGATAGAATTCGTGGACCAACACATTTTCGAAAAGCTCTAAATTTAATCTTTTTTAAGCTTTCTTCACAAAACATGCGTGGCTTCAATCATACAACAATTCTTATTCCCAGTTTCCACAGTCTCCGCTAGGAATGCCTGGCACAATGACACCCCTTTCGTGTCCCAAATATGAAGAAAAACGCATTGCAGATTATGAGTCTCGCTGCTTACGCAAGCAAGACTAATAAGGGAGCTGTTGTGGTTCAAATTTAATCTTTGGTTTGAATTCTTTTAAACCAGTTTAAATTTTTCAAACCAGTTAGAAATTTTTAACACTTAACTCGTTCTCATTTATTTGTACCTCTCCTTGTAAAATACGGTGTAAAAATAAACTCACATTTTAGTAACTGCTAAGGCAGTTAAGTGGGGTCATATTTTGCTTCATTTTGTCTTTTTGCCTAAATTAAGCGAAAAACTGGGACCCTGACGAAGGTAACGTCGAGCGGTAACGTCGAGCGAGTTGCGTGCGGTAACTCTCCCTAATATCATGACAAAATTAATAGTGAACAAATATTGAGAAAAGCAAACAAAGAACTCAAGGACGAAGTAGCAGAGCTTAAAGTGAAGCTAGAAAAGGTTTTGAAAGAGTTAAGTGAACAAACTGAAGAATGCAAACTAAATGTCGGTAATGGCGTCGAAGTGTTGTCACCAGACAAAACCAAATCAGTGGAGTTTGTTTTGGACCGGAACGATGATTTGATTGCTTTCAAAGTAAGTGCCAGTAAAGAGCTTTAAGAAATTAGGGCAAGACTCGATAATATATCTGAGACCTGCGACCGCATCCAGAAATCGCTAGATGTTTTTGAACTGTACAGCTAACAATTCAACATCAAGATAGTCGGAATGCCAAAGGTTGCTGAACGTGAACACCCTGAGCAAACTGCAAATCTATGCCTACAGTTATTTTCAGCCTTGGGAGTAAAGGGAGTGTTGATCCAGGATATTGATACGGCCCACCGAGTGCCATCTATGAAGCCGTCAAATCGACCCAAGGCAATCGTTTGTAAGTTTGTACGAAGGCTAGCTAAAGACCAAGTAATGGCAGCCAGGAAGAAAGTTGGTGGCCTCAAGGCCAAAGAACTTGGATTTGCAGCTGATATCAATGTCAAGTATCTTAATATCTATGATCACTTAATGCCACGGTTACAAGCCTTATATCATGAAGCAAAGAAGTCAAAGAGGCTAAGAAGTACAAATTTTGTCGGGCAAAAAATGGCCTTGTGTATCTTCGCAAGGCTGAAGAATCCACAATTTACAAATTCGCTGACCTTTCTGAGCTTAACAAGAAATTTAGCACGGCCTCAGAAGCTGGAGTGAACGATCACCTACAGAGCTAAGTATTCAAGTACTTTTTATATTCTATCATTACGAAGTAATCAAGTTTGACTATTGACATGCCTACAAAGACCATTGCTAAGCAACAACAGAAGTTCAATAAATCTCTGTTAAAAGATTTACCGTACTTTAATTTCAGAGGTAACTTAGTCCTTGCCCATGGCCAATTTAATAATTCACTTAATAGTGAGCTCCCGACTAAACAAGATCTAGATAAACTCCATAGTTTATATGATCTGGATTTGTTTAATTTGAATATGGCCTTTGATACCAACCAAACTGATAATGATGCTTTAATGAGCCAATGTATTAGAAGCTGATATTTTTCTCCACACAGTCTTAAGCAGTTTACTAATAATCTTCCGCAGGATCAAATTGAATCTAGTCTCTCAATTTTTCACAATAATATTAGAAGCCTTAATCATAACCTCGAAAATCTAGTGACTCATTATTTACAAGAATTAAGTATTCACTTCAATATAATAGGTGTCACGGAAACTAAAATCACCAATTCTAATGAGAATACAGGCCTTTCAAACATACCCGGTTACGTTTTTGAACTCGTTCCAACACCTCTAGCATGTGGTGGTGTAGGCCTCTTTGTCGATGAAACACTTAGTTATTCAGTTTTAGAAAAAACTTAGTTACAGTCGCGACTCCTTACTGGCTCTTCAAAGTTGTTATCTCCTTCCAACTAGTGACAAACCAAGACGTGTTCACAAAAATTCTGCAAGCTTAATCGATAACATTTTTGTGAACAATCCTGAGCAGGTGCTAATCAGTAGTAATCTCATTACTGATGTCAGCGATCATTTTTCGCAGTTTTGTATTTTGACATCAAAAAGAGATAAAATTAAACAGAAGCAAATTAAAAAAAACGCGATCTTTCGCATTTCAATCCCAATAGTCTTAACAGTGACCTTGCTACGATCAACTGGAGTTGCATCATTAAAACACATGCAAACAAAGTAGACAAACTATTTTCAACTTTCTATAGAAATTTTAATAAAATTATAAATAAACATGCACCAATTAAAACCCTTTCTCGAAGTAGGATTAAACAATTTTCTAAGCCTTGGATTACAAAAGGTATAAGAACGTCAATCAAAGAAAAAAAACAGAGTGTACCAAATTGGCGATCAGGAAAAGTATAAATATTATCGAAATAAAATTTGCAGTCTTATACGTTTGAGTAAGAAACACTATTACTGCGCCTTTTTTAATAACAATTTAAGTTATATGAAAAAAACATGGCAAGGCATAAATGAATTATTAAATCGCTGCAAAAGAAAGTGTAAATCTGTTAGTAAATTAAAAGACCCAGATAACAACAATAACCTTACTAATGATTCCTCGCGTATATCTAATATCTTAAATAAACATTTTTCAAATGTTGGCAACATCTTAGCAAGCAAACTACCACCGGCAGACCGTCCCTTCATAGACTACCTAAGAAACTCAAGTTCGCCAGAACTTTTGCTTTTCTTCAGACCTGTAACTCCAACTGAAATTCAATTTCAAATTTTATCGATACCAAACAGCATATCGCATGGCTTATACTCCTGTCCTACTCAACTTCTTAAATACTCAAGCGAAGTCATATCTCCAGTTCTTTCAGATATTGTCAATACATCTGTCTCTCTAGGGGCTTACCCCCCAAAACTTAAAATATCAAAAAATTATACCTATTTTCAAAGCTGATGACGAGACCGACACTTCTAATTATAGGCCATTTTCATTATTATCAAATTTCAATAGAATCTTCAAAAAAATTAGGTACGACAGAATGAGAGACTTTATTGAAAAGCACAGCCTATTATATTCGTCTCAATATGGTTTTCGTCAAGCTCACTCACCCCAACATGCCATTCTTGATATGGTAGAAACTATACAAACCAATATCGACAAAAAACTCTTTTCATGTGGTCTTTTTATTGACTTAAAAAAGCCTTTGACACTGTGAATCATACTATTTTACTTGATAAACTAAATTATTATGGCTTCCATGGAATTGTCAATCAATGGTTTTCCTCTTATTTATCAAATCACACACATATATCTAGTAAACTACAACAGGGGTCTTTTTTGCATTTGCATGCGCGACCGCTGACTTGCATTGTCAAAGAGCACGCGACCAGTGACAGCGACTGTGCTGCATAGTCATAGGAACCAAATTGTTCACTTTGAAAGCTTGCTTGAGATTGAAATGGTAGCAGGAACTTAGGAAAAACCTTTGTTGTACCAAATAAGTAAAGATCTGTTGATTCAAAGTGGAGACTGATGCGCTGAACGAGGTGAATGAGCAAGTGTCTCAAGGATGTCTGACACGAACATGGCTGTTTGTTATTGTTTGGCGCTCGACTCGTGTCTTGATTCCCCTTTAAGAACTGCAAAGTTTGGCATAGAATGCATTGCTGATGCGTAGCTATTGAGCAAAATGTTCTTTATTTAGTGTTTGTCTATAAATCGGATGTAAATCAGTTTCTCGATGCCGTAGAGGATTTCTGTCAATAATTTGTTGGTAGCTGAGGTAGCCATATTTCGGGAGTGGATTAATAACTATCAGCGGGCGACTACCAGGTCGTTTTCAGTTGGAATACAAAGTTTTTGCCTTAAGTATTTTAGCGATACCAAGTTTGTTTATAAAAAAATTGTAGAACTTCTTGTTTTTGCGTGTACTAACATTGTAACGCATCTTTTACAGGAATTTGCTTTTAGCCAGAACTTAAATGTTCTAATGATTTTTAACTTTTGGTTGGCATCACAGGTTTACTGTACTTCTTGGGAAACCTAACCGTTTGTTTCATCAAAATCGGTCACAAGATTGGACTTTAATTTCGGTCCTATTGAATGCAGTTTTGACTGTGTCTCATTGATATTCATTTTTTTTTTATTGTTCGAGACATATAGAGTGACTACCACCAACATCTCACCAGGTGACTAATCTACGTCTCGTGTGCTCTTAATTTTGTAGCTTTAAAGTGCTGGGAAAATCGTAGAACATATATTAATTCACTGCTGAACTGAACATCGGCTTTCGCGCACTTTGAACCCACTCGCTGCAAGTTGC